TGTATATTATTTTTTTTTTATTTTTTTATTTTTTTATTTTTTTTTCGTCCGTGGAGTATCTATCTCCGATAGCAGTGATTAATCTCCTCGCTACATTGGAAGCACCTCAAAGGGTGGGATTGCTTCAAAATTTAACGCGACTGCATATACAAGACAGGATTCAAATCCCTGACCTTACTTAAGCGTGGATCAACCCCTACCACTGAACCAGACGCTTGGAATTCCAACAAAAGAATATATATACTTTGGATAAGGAAAAACAAATTCAATTTCTCATTTGACAGTTTCCAACTCACTGTAATGTTTGCAAAACTATACAGTCAAATAAAACAGTTTATTCAATTAATATACAGAAAAAGGTGAAATAAAAAAAAATACATTTTGACTGAGACAACACCATATCGTAATTTAAAATTAAGACTTTCATTACTTAGTTATCTATAATTCATTGTAATTTTTTATTTATAAATCTAGTGATTTATTACTTTGATCTTAAAACAAGAGGGAATTTTCCTTGGCCTTAAAATTTTTTATATATGAAAAGAAATAAATAGTATATCCACTATAGTGTAAATGATTTTTGTATCCATAATTAAATGTATAACTTTATTGACGTTTAGAATAATTATTTTAAAAATTATTAAATAACTACATCCTCAATAGATAAGAATTAAACTCATTGATTAAACTTTGTAAAATATTTAAATTCTGTAACTTAATTATTAGCAAATAATTAAAGACAAATTATCAAAGCAGACGGTAATAACCAGTAAGGATCAGACATATTTTGCAAAGAAATAAAAAAGAAAAATATTCTTTTAATTATGTGCATGCTCGTGCGTGTTTTGAAATTAAAAGATAATATTTTATTATATAAATTTAAATTAATGTATAAAATATTTTTATGAATATTTATTAATTTGAGTTAATAAAATAAAGTATTAAATAATTTTAAAATATTTTAAAATTTTATAAATTTGATATATATTAAAAAAATTAAATTCAAAATTAAATTAAATAAATTAAAGATTATTAAGTGAAATAATTCTATTATGATTTATTATGACTCTTTCTTTTTTATTATTTATTTATATTATAAAAGTGATAATAAAATTAAATTTTCAAATATTATATATATTATCTAAAATTGATGGTTTGTTGTATTTATTCATCAACTATATTATATATGTCTCCATATAAAAGAAAAATGTGCAAAATATTACAATGGTTCGATGATTATTACAAAATAAATAATTTTAATTGTGTAATAATTTATACTTAAATAATAATATGATTAAAACAGTTTAGAATGTTAAAATAATATTAAATAAAAAATTATATTTCATAAATATATTTTAATTTTTATTATTAACGTTGAGACACGGTATAACATATTCATGAAAAAGATTAAAAAATTGATTAAATGATAAAATTTTGTAACTGTCTGGTCAAACTTTTTTTTTTCTTTTGATAACTGTCTGGTCAAACCTTAAACTCTTTATCTTAAAGGAAGATAATATAAATGTCACAAATATCTTAAAATTAAAGACTTTTTATATTTTGATCTAAAACACCATCTCGAATACATTTATTTGATAGTCAACAAAACGGAAGAGAATACTAATGAATGTGTAGTATACAATATAATAATATAAAGTAAAATGAAAGCGACTCAGTTACAATAATGCTTTTCTCGTCAATTGCGGTGAAAAGCAAAAAAAGAAAACAAGAACAGAAGAAGGCGTTTTTACTTTCTATGACTCAAATTTATTTTTTATTATTAAAATTATTTTTTATATAAATATTAAAATATAATAATATTTAAGATTTATAAAAATTATTATAATAATTTTTAATATATTTTTATCTTTATTAATTTCAATGTGTTTTTATCTATTTTATATACATTTTTTACACTATGATATAATAGAAAAGTATAATTATAATAAGTTTAATAATCTTTTGGTATTTATAAATTTTTCATTTTTATTATTTATTATTTTATAATTAAAAACATTTTATTTTATTTTATTTTATATATATTATGTTGGTTCTCTTTTAGTTCTTGTCAACTACCTCTACAAATAATTTAAGGTGAAATTAATAAAATTATAGAGAAAAGACAAAAATAATATGTATAGAATTAACATAAAATATTTTTAATTTAGGAACTAAAAGGTAATTGATAAAATAATAAGGACCAAAAAGTTAATTAAGTTTTTTTAATATTTTTCTTAATTACACTTTTTATGACATTTTTTTTTATGATTTTGTGAATTGTCACATAACTTTTAAATTTATATACTTTCCATCTGATATTCAAAATTTTGTAAATCTATTCACCTTGTTAATTTATCGCATGAGTATGATGTTGTTAATTAATTACAAAGTAACACATTAGTTATTGACATATTTTTCATTCAACATTCAAAATTTTGTAAATTTAATCACCATGTCAATAAATTATATGATATTATTAGTTAATTATTGATATAACACATTAATTATTAACGTAATATATAATTATTAATATGATATATTATCTTTTAATTTGACGTACATATTGTTAGTTAATTACATGTTATTGTCTATATATCATTAATGTATAAAATAGTTAACATGTAACATTAATAATTAAATAATAATATTTAACACACAACTCACATGATAACAAAATTTGTAAAGTTTAAAAACAAAATGTATAATTTAAAAGTTGAATTACAAAGTTTGTAAAATTATAAAATATAAACAAAAAAAAGTATAATTAAACCTAATATATTTAATTATTTTATATATAAATTGTATCAAATAACGTTGGATGTGAGAAGAAAGAATCATCTCAAGTTGGCGTGGGACTTTGTGATGCTAAGTGTGAGATCCCAAAGGTTCCCTACTTCAATCACATTGGGCATGGGTTAAATGGCATCAAATGTAAGTGAGATAGAGAGTTTTGTGTCTCAATGATTATATGTGTGTGTGAGAGAGAGAGACAGAAGGGATCCATTTACTCTAGGAGTAAGTCTATTTATACTTATTCTATTAAAAATCATTTGATACTTCATTTCATTAATTTAATTTAACAGATAATAATAAAATCATTTTTATACATTGATTTGAATTAATGAAACGAAGTATTAAATGATTTTTAAATTTTATAAAAATTTGTAAATTTGATCTATGCATCAAGAACTTTAATGTAAAATATGAATTATTAAATAGAGTAAACTTAATTAGACTTATTCTTACGGTAAACGAATTCATTCTCTCTTCATATATATATATATATATATATAATAAATTCTGCAACAAAAAAATCAATTTTTAAAGAAACTGGTTATTATTATTCTTATAACTGATTTATAAAGTTTATAAATTACTAACTCTTTGATCGGTGACTATTTAGTGTATCAAATAGTAACATTCACATATATATTTTAATAACCAAGGAAAAACATTTTGGAAATATTATGAAATAAAGAGGGGAAAATGAAGTGTGCACAAGAGACATGTGTGGTCATGGGAAATTGGAGAAGGGACCCACCTCAAACAATTAAGGTGAGGAGAGTCAGGAAGTGTCCTTAAC